AACGTTAAGATCATGTGCTTGTTATTGCTATATATTTTTGTTGGATATTTTTATCAATTTATGTTTCTAGTGATTATTGATATTTGGTTATGTTGTTCTAATTGTTTTTTGTTGACTATTGTTATCTATTTTTGTTTCTACATAAAATATTTTACTATTGTTTGACAATCAATCTATTGTTTTTATAATTTATGACGTGTTTCATGGTTTTGTGATTAATCAATAATTTTTTTCTACTAGATGTATTTAGTAGTGTCTCTTATATATGTCATGTTCCATAAATTTTTAATCTTAACATTTTATTTTAGTTGAGCAAAATAGAAGGGAAATGTAATTTAAATATTTTCATCAATTCTTTGACTTATGTATTTTTCATTGGAATTTCATCATACTACAAGATTCTATTTAAGTGCTCAAACAATCATTTTTTGAATTTGTATATTATACATTTAATTCATTATTTATTCTTATTGGTTCTTTTCTTTTATATTTTTATCGATCATCATTTGTCTACTTGTCTAGAAAACCTTGATAATCTTATTTATTATTGATCTCTCATTAACCCTCACGATTACTTCATTCACACAAATTCTCATTTTGTATCAAAATAATACATATTTCTTGTTATGAACTAAAAAAAATTCTTACTTTTTATAAAAATTTAATCATAGTTTTTATACTCTTGGTTTCAAATTACCTAATAAGAAGTACGTAAATTTAATTATACTCTTATATATTTATAATAAAAATAAATAAAATTTATTTCCTTCTCAATTTTATACTAATGAAAAACGTTTATTGATTTTTTTCCCATACTTATTGGGGGTCAATACAAGAAAAGTGAGCTTTGACGATGCCTTTTAGCGATGACATGTTTCCGCCACAAGTTATAACGACGACATGTTGTTATATACTCTTTCTGATGATAAATGGACTTTTAGCGACGACAAAAGTCGTTGTTAAAAGTCTTGTTTCTTGCAGTGGGCCCTGTTGTTACGTTCGCCCATGGCTTATAAAATGTTAGAAACGGGTCAATTTCCACATGATCAAAATCCTATTTTTAACATACAATTGATTTTGCCACTCTTATAACATTATACGTCTCTCCTTATTATGTCACACTTATCCCAAAATACACATCTCCTGATTATATCACCCTTATTCCAACCAGTTGATAATAACATATCAAAACACCAAATTATGCTAAAAATAACATATAATTAATTTCAAAACAACCCATGTATAAGTACAGGAAACCATACAGTTTCTTCACCAAAAGCAATTTAAGTGATGCTTTTAAATTAAAGCTAACCTTATAAGAATAATCACAATAGACCTCAAGGTCTAACTCTATAATTGCATAAAAAAGCATGAAAAAAGATTTATTATTAGAACTCAATGTCTAACCCTCATTTTATGTTTAAAATGTGCATTGCAGGTCAGTTGTAATCAATGGATAAAGGAAAGAGAAAAATGTGAATTTTTCTTTCATGCTTGCATGGGTTTTGATGAAGAACTTATTATTTGTTTAGTTTTGGGATATTTGTTCATATACAAGTTATGTACAACAATATTATGGGAAAAAAAATTGGTTATAAATTTTGTAATATAGTTTCTTGTACTGTTGGGGTTGAATATGTATTATATTTTTGTTATATGAAATACATGGTTATAAGCAAATGTGGATCTTGGGGTGTTACAACATTGTTTTGTAACAAAATGTTATTACAACGATTCCAAAATGCAAATTAGTGGAGCCGAATAAATGTACTACAAATTTTGATTTTTATGATAAGAGGGATGATGGAAAAAAAACGAATCAATAAGTATACAAAATAAGCTAACATCGTGAGTTTACAAAAAAAACCTTGCCACCTTTTAATAAATACTGACATCATTTTTTCATTATATAATATTCTCATCAATACAGAATAAAACACATTATATTAAAATTTTAATGAATATTCATTCTCATTAAACCATCTCATTATCCTTTAATTTTTTTCTTTAAAATATATGTAACATCCCAAAATTTCAAATGCTTAAATATATCAAAACTAGAATCCTAAGATCAACCACTTACATTGCAGCGGAAATAGAATTTCTAATCTTACAATTATATCATCATCTAAAATTACAATCTTGAGGAACATAACTTTTCTCTATATAACAATGTCTTGATCTGCACATATCATTCTTTGGAGCTAATCTTTATATCTCTTTATCCCACTTTTCTTTCCACTCAAATAGCCGTCTGGGTGAAAAAGTTTTAAAAGAGTTTTRGGTGAGCCTTAGGCCCAGTGAATCCACGGTTTTCATGCATGAACAACAACTTTTATAATAAACAATTTTCACGAAGCTTCATAAGTTTAGCATGCCTTAATGAGAATAATATTTTTCACAAAATAAAGATATTTTGTGCGTGTTTACATCACAAAGCAACACTATAAGTCCTTGAAATTTAACGACTAACAATTCCTTTCTCTTTTTTTTTTGGTTATTACAATATATATCGATGAATACAATCATGCCACCACGTCTCTCAATAGGGTCCGTCAGTCACGTTTAAAAAGAAAAATGACATAAACTTGGTGAATTATCTCACGTCAATTGTATAAGATCATCTTTATTCACAATCTTTTAAAACTCAATCTCAATTAAAATATTACTTTATCTCTAATTCACATATATAATCTTCAACTTCAGTTTAATCTTACTTGTTTTATCATTTAACCACAATCCCCTCAATCCAATATAATCTAAAATATTATTTTGTAAAAATCATATATTTAAATTTTTGTATGTATAATTATTAATTTTTAATTTTAAGTATAAGATTAGAATAAACGGACCATTACATATTTTAAAAAGTAATTATAATTATAAAAAACTTACCATATAATTGAAATTAAATAAAACAAGTCACAAAAATAAGTACAAAATTACATATCTGAAATAATAAATAATCGTAGTTAATTATCATGACCGAATTTCTGCCACATATGTTCAATCAAATCATTTTTTTGAGAGTTATGAGTTTTTCATACTATATGTTTGGGTGATATGGAGAGTTATCAGGATTTTGAGAATTTGAAGAAAAAAAATTGGGAAGTTTGGATTCATAGCAGAAAATTGAAAAAAAAAAACTGAATTTTTTTTTAATTTGCAAGATAACGAAATGATTAAAATGAAGAGAATGAAAATATGTCAATATTGAGCTCTATTTATAGAAAATCGAAAACCATGAATTTTGATATATTTATTGTTTTTTAATTTTCTTATTAAAATTATTTTTTTATCTGATAAATTTTATAAAATAAAAATATAACATTGACCAATAGTAATATGACATGTGACATATAAAATAGACCGGAAAATTACAATCTCAATTGTATGGTGATCAAGTTTGGATAAGATTGTCCATTTCTTTTTACTTTTACTTTTTTAATATTTTTATTTTTTAATAACAAATTATTAAAAATCATTTGTGAATTACGATAATAGCAATTTTTATCCCAGTAGTTTTAAACTATAAAATGACATTCACGATTTATAAAATATTAGAAGATTTTTCGCACAATACAGCGATATACATTTCGATTTTCGTCCCCGTAGATGGGTAGAGAATCTAATTCGTTTTTTTGTTTTTGTTTTTGTTTTTGTCGATAATATGATACGACTTTATGTGATTTTGAGAAAGAGATAATGTTTTTATTTTTGAATAAAATATAAATATGAAGATATCATAAAAAAATATTGATATTAGTATCAAACTAAAGGGTCGTTTACTAAACACTTACTTAATAAGTGCTTAACGCATAAATTTCCTCATCGAATGAAAATGATAAGAGCCAAGAATCTTACCGGGTAAGAACGATTAGAAGGATGAAGAGTTTTACTTGGTAAGTGTGGATGATGACTCTTACCTAGGTAAGCGCATACGTAGTAAATTGTTGCATTCGATATGCTTTGATGTACTAAAAACTTCCGCATCTAAAAAAATTATAATGTTGACTTCTATTAGTAAGCGCTTACCTAGTAAGCGCTTACCAGGTAAGCATTTGGGTAAACGGCCCCTAAGTATTTAAAATTTCTCGTTTTTTTTTGTGTATTTCTTTAATTTATTTTTTTATTTTTGGTTTAATAATCTAATTTTTTATAAATATAATAATTAAGTATTTTGTTAAAACTCAATGATTATTCTAATTATATTTTAAATTTTTTATATTTAAAATGAAATGTTTATCTGAAGTTAATTACATGAATTCAAAATGATTTTTAAGAGTTTTTATCAAATGCTTTATAATATAGTATAGATATTTGGATTTGGCTTTTCTTTATCCACCATTAAAAAATTCTATCCATTGAAAATTTTCATCATTTTATCGATTTTTTTTAATTTTACTCAATCAAAAACTACATGTACCAAAATCATAAAATCAATTTTGATCGGACAAAAACAAAAAATGGAAATACCTGCGTTTAACGAATTTTTTTTGATTAACCTAGATATCCAACACTTTATGCGAGCCGACTAATCCCAGGGTGACCACCTGCTTTGCAGATAGCCCGGAGTCACCGAATTTGAACCTCCGTGGCCACAAGAAGGTTTTTATTTCTCCTTGGATTTGAACTTGAGACCTTCTGATACTGTTGACCTTTGGAGCCAATCTCAAACCAATCAGGCACCACCCTTGTAGTTATTTAACGAATTTTTTAACGATCGTTAAAAGGGGGATCAAATCTAACCATTTTTATAAATCACAATGGATATGTTGTAATTTTAAAACTGTATGGATGAAAATTGCTATTTATGGTAAACTACAAGGAACAAATTTGTAGTTTACTCTAAATAAAAACGTTAATTTTAATGCCTAATTTGAGAAAGAAGCGAATGGGCTGCTTCAATAACACATGCTACAAATTTATTGGATCTCAAAGAGTCCATTTAGGGTTTTCATCTCCTCTCTCTCTCTCTCTCTCTCTTCCTCTTTAATTAATCCTCTCAACAAACCCCATTTCAATTCAATAGTCCAATTTCTGAAATCGGGTTCAAGCCCAATCCGATCGCCATCCTCCAACAAACGTTTCTGGATCTGGATCACCATTGCAGGCTGCAGCTTGGATTTTAGGTCGGTGTTTCGTCGATTTCACGGTGTATATATAATTACTTTATTTTATAAACCCTAACTCTGTTTCCTTTTCCGTTTTAAGTTTGTTTTATACATCGTTTGTCAATTTTGATGTATGGTGATGATCTTGTTTACCAAAGTCGTTGTGTTTCGTGGGTTGATTGATTGATTGATGCAATTAGGTTGGTCTCTGTTTGGATTTATAACTTTTTTAGGAGCCCAAATCTTGATGGTGAACCCTAGATCTGTTTGGTTGTTTCTTCAGCACATGGATGTGCAAATTGCCTTTTCTGATCCTGGGGTGTTGTGTTTGACTTATTGGTTGTCAAAATCACTAGCGTACATGACCTATAACCTTTTCAAGAGTCGGGCTCAATCTCTTTACCTAATTGTTAGGCTTCCTTTGGTCTTCGGTTGTGGTGAAGATGGTGGTTGAGGTTGCTCCTAGTTGGCCTCATAGTTTTATGAACATAGTTGGCACTGATGAATACATCTTTTCTAGGGCAAACATGTATGGAGTAAATATACATAGGATGAACTCATGAAAGCTTATGTTGCCCAAAATATAGACCCCTATTTCGGTTGATATGGTTAACCTCCCTTGAATTACCTTGTTTTGTACCTTAACCTGATTCACCAAGTCTCTAAAAGACTGGGTGCAGATCACTACGCATGTCAGTGTGTGTTGAAGGTTTCATAACAGGGAATTTCGCTACCTCTGCACCATTATATTACAACGGACTCGGTTGCCGGCTTAATCAAGGGTAGTCTTTACATAAAAATTGACTTGTATACAAACCAAATGAGCCCTGTATGTACCAACCGGAGGTGGGATCCTTTTTTTTTGGGGGGGGGGGGGGGGGGAAGTTTAAGATGTACACAAACTTGAACTCTACCCTAAAAAGAGTAGAGCGGAGTTTCTGTAATGACAAATGAGAAAATAATGTATACATGTTTCTGTAACGAATTTTCCCGGCTAGTAAAATGGAGAAAAACAGATTATGTTAACAAATGAGAAGTTAGATAAGAGTAAACATTAGCGACAAAACTAGAACACGATACACATATGCCAAGTGCTGAAGGAATTAGACAGCTTATCGATTAGAAGATCTATCTAGAGACTAGAATGGGCATTGAATGATAAATTGACTGTTTGATATATGTTTAGAATGTATAATCTTAATAGCTTTAAATTTTTGGTTTAACCATTTGAAGTATTTTTAACAAGAATGCTATATGATAAAACGAAAATAACAAATTCAACATCATTTAATGGGTCTCAAAAAAGTGCAAACATTTTTTTTTGGGGAAGTTCAACGTCATGCCTTCCACTTGTTTGCTCACACTCTTGCACATGCCGGAGGTGTTCATGGAAACAACCACTCTATTCTTTTGGAGTAGGGTTCAAGTCTGTTTATCTCACCCTCTCCAAACCCGCTCTCGAGTGGGATTTACTCGGTCAATTTGGGATTTTCTTTTTTTTGGGAAATTCTTAATCATGATTTTACGCTAATCTCTTTGTGTTGGATTTTCTGCCTACACCAGGTGATTGCTTTTCTTCCCGAAATGGATACTCCTATGGAAAGTAATGCACTGGTTAACATAGAGATGCAGCCAGAATATTTTGACACACCAATGAATGATGTGGAAACACAACCTACCAAAAATAGAAAGAAGAAGTCTATAGTTTGGGAATACTTCACTATTGAAAATGTGGGTGCAGGATGTAGAAGGGCCTGCTGTATGCAATGCAAGCAATCCTTTGCATACAGCACGGGTACCAAAGTCGCGGGCACCAGTCACCTCAAACGCCATATCGCTAAGGGAGGTTGCCCTGTTGTTCTTCGTAATCGCGGGCAAGATGCATTAACCCCATTTAGCGCACCTTCAAAGATGGCTGTTAACTCTGGGGGTCCCATTACGCCTAAACGGCGTTACAGAACCAGCGTTGTGCCTTATTCCACATTCGACCCCGATAGGTGCCGCCAAGAAATGGCAAGAATGATCATTCTGCATGACTATCCACTTCACATGGTTGAACACCCAGGGTTCATGGCTTTTGTGCATAACCTTCAGCCTAGTTTCAATATGGTCAACTTCAATACAGTTCAAGGTGATTGTGTAGCAACTTATCTGAGAGAAAAACAGAGTATTCAGAAATTGATTGAAGGAATGCCGGGCCGGATTTGCCTTACCCTTGACCTTTGGAATTCATACCATACAACCGGTTATGTCTTTGTCACTGCACAATTCATCGATAGCGAGTGGAAGATGCATAGGAGACTATTAAACGTTGTGATGGAGCCATATCCCGAGTCGGATTCGGCTTTCAGCCATGCCGTTTCCACCTGTCTCAACGATTGGAACATGGAGGGAAGATTATTCTCGCTCACAATAAACCAGCCGTTGAGTGAAGTCGGGATCAACAGTCTCAGAAGTCTGCTTTCCGAGAAAAACCCAAACATTCTTGGTGGTCAATTGTTGCTCAGAAACTGTCTTGCTCGTTCTTTAAGCTGTATTGCACAAGAAGCGCTAAAGGAGGGACAAGAAACAGTCAAGAAAGTCAGAGACTGTGTGAAGTATGTGAAAACATCGGAATCGTTAGAGGAGAAATTTCTCACCCTCAAACAACAACTTCAAGTACTCAGTACCAAGACTTTATCACTCGATGATCAGACTCGGTGGAATACAACTTACGAAATGTTACTCGCAGCCTCGGAGTTGAAAGAAGTGTTTTCTTGCTTAGATACTTTAGATCCCGATTACAGTAAAGGCCCAACCGGTGAAGAATGGAAGCTTGTAGACAATCTTTGTGCCTATCTGAAGCTACTTTTCAACACTGCGAAGCTGCTGACATCATCGACTACACCAACGACTAATACCTTCTTTCACGAAGCATGGAAGCTTCAGTTGGAGCTATCACGGGCATTCACATGTGAAGATGAAGCCATCCGCAGACTGACCAAGCCAATGCAAGAAAGTTTCGATCACTACTGGAAAAACTGCTGTTTGATCTTAGCGATTGCAGTGGTTATGGACCCACGATTCAAGATGAAGCTGGTTGAATTCAGTTTCACAAAGATCTACGGTGATGAAGCTGCATCTTACATCAAGATCGTGGATGAAGGAATTCATGAGCTTTTCTTAGAGTATGTAGCGCTTCCATTGCCGTTGCCATTGCCACTCACCCATGGTTTTGTTGAAGCAGCAAATGGTGAATCTGAAGACCAAAAACAAGAAGATGGCTTAAACAATGGAGTCGGGCTTACGGATTTCGATGTTTATATCATGGAGAGTACGAGTCAACAATCGAAATCAGAGCTGGATCAGTATTTGGAAGAGTCTCTGTTGCCTAGAATCCATGAATTTGATGTTATGGGATGGTGGAAACTGAACAAATCCAAGTACCCAACTCTATCGAAGATGGCTCATGATATCTTGACGATCCCTGTCTCGACTGCTGCTCCTGAGTCGGTTTTTGAGACGGGTATGAAAGAGATGGACCGTTATAGGTGCTCTTTGAGGCCGGAGACGGTGGAGGCGCTATTCTGTGCCAAGGACTGGCTTCGATGTGAACCAATGGAGACTATGGATTCACTTGTGAAGATGGAATTTCCAATTTAGTTTGGTATTTATAGTTTTTATCTTTGTTTAGGTTGTGTTAATTTGTGCATGATGTGGGCAATAAATAGGGGTTTTGCTTTAGTTGTATTTATTTTATAGTCATAGACTTGAATTCAATCCAGATTTGTGAAGCTTATGACACTGTCTTTATTTGTGCATCATAATTCATAATATGCTAAACCAAGCCCTAACCGAGTTCAATATATATATATATATA